ACAACTAGCTTACATCAGGAAACAACTAGCTAGCATCTAGCTAACATCAGCTGCCAGCTGGTTAACAGCTAGTTATCAGCGAGCTAACAGCTTCAATACCATATGGTGTACCACAGGGCTCAGTTCTGGGCCCACTGCTTTTCTGTCTTTATTTACTGCCTCTGGGTTCTATCCTCAGGAAACATGGGATTTCATTTCATTGTTATGCTGACGATTGCCAGATTTATTTACCCTGAAGCAGAAAAATGTCCAGTCAAGCAAACATCTCCTGGCATGTCTAGACGATGTTAAAGCTTGGTTGGCTTTGAACTTTTTAAATTTTAATGAAAACAGAGGTGATGGTGTTCGGACCCAGTGGATCCTGTGAGTCCTCCTCTGTTGACCTTTGACCCTTGGAGGTTTATTTTAAACCTGTTATTACAGATCTTGGTTTTAAGGTGGACAGTGATTTTAAATTGGACAGCCACATTAGAGCCGTGGTTAAGTCCAGTTTTTATCATGTAAGGCGATTGGCATCAGTAAAATCTTTTCTTTCCAGGCAGCATTTTGAAACAGTGATCCATGCTTTTATTTCGACTCGACTGGATTATTGTAACTCTCTATATCTGGGAGTCAGTCAGTCACTGCTCTCACGTCTGCAACTGCTTCAGAATGCACGACTTTTGACAGGAACTGGAAAGAGAGAGCATGTGACCCTGTCTTGGCTTCACTTCACTGGCTGCCTGTTTATTTTAGGATCCATTTTAAAATTCTTATGTTTGTTTTGAAATCGCTGCATGATCTTGCCCCGGCTTACCTCACTGAGCTTCTTCACCCTGACATACCTTATGGGTCTCTCAGGTCTGTAGATCAGTTGCTCTTGGAGGGACAGAGATCTAGACGGAAGCTCAGAGGGGACAGAGCTTTCTCTGTCGGGTCCTAAGTTATGGATGACCTGCAGGTCAGAGGCCCCTTCACTGTCCACTTTCATCTATTTTAATTGGCTTTCAACTCCAGCAAGATCTAGTTTTATATTTGTTTGTTTGTTTTAAACTGTAAGAGTTTTTATTTGTTTTTATTTTTTTACAGCACTTTGTATCAGCTGTGGTTGTTTTAAAGTGCTTTATAAATAAAGTTGTTATGGTAAATACATCTCCCATCCTGAAGGTGTCACTGTAACATACCTTCATGGTGTCTTCAGTGATTTTGTTTCTTCCTTGAAATTAATGTGACCTGTATAAACTGCCATCATCTGGTGATATAAGTTTATTATTTTACAGATGTTAAACCTCATCCTGCTATCTGAATCAATCATCTGCACTGCAGCTACTTTCTGCATGAATATAAACTACTTCATGATTAAATGCTGAACAAAATGTTAACTCAAGCTTCATAAATCAGTGATGTAACGTCTGTTTTAGCTCCATCCTTCAGTCAGACTGACCTGCAGCTTGATTTGTTTTCACTGACATGAAGCTCAGTGGACCTGCAGGAGAAATGATGATATTATCATTTAATTCATTTATAATATCTCCATCTTAATATAAATAACAAACTGACTATGATTTGTGGACATTTAAAACCTGACATGATGAAATGAATCAAACTTTTTATTAAACCAGTGAAGCGTTCAGACAGCATCATGTGTTAACATGAAATATGAATCATTAATGCTGTCATGGCAGTAACTGGGCCCAGTTTGATGGTCTTTCTGGTCATTTATTGACCTTCAGGCTGAATGTTGGACCTTCAGTGATGCTGGGAGCTGCCGCGCTGATGGAGATTCTGCTGGTTCTTCACAGCATTAACAAAGTCTCTGCAATCACGGATGAACTTCTCCATCTCCTTCTTCAGCACATTGAGCTCTTGTGCAGCTTCAGCCATGGCTGTGAACTCGTCCTCCCCCTGCTGGTTCTTCTCGACAGTCTGCTGCCAGGCTCTCATCATGGTGTACTCTCTCCCCAGCAGCGCGGCCAGTTTGTCCGGGTATCCCTCCGCCGAGCCGCTGAAGCCCCGCAGCGGCTCGTTCAGCCAGCTGCCGCCGGCCGCCATGGTGATGTAATCGTCATTAAACCAGAACCTGTTGTCGTTCATACTCAGAGCCATGAGGGTCAAAGGAAACGTCCGGAAGTTCCTGGCAGATTCAGCGATGACTGAAGCAGTGAAGTACGTGGTGCACCAAGCTTCCCTCTCTGGAGACGGGATGAACGCTGTCTCTCCGAGGAAAATGTTTCTGAAATACTGAACACACTCTGAAGATTGTTGATCCTTTTGTTCTGGTTCACCATTTCCTTCGATGGCAGGTCTTATATCTGTGTAACTTTCCTTGTCCATTTGGTTTATGATACAATTTTTAATGTTATCAATAATTTTTTTAGAGTTCTGATTGTCATGCAGCCTCTTTCCAACAGGAAACACATAAAGACTTTCAGGATTGACTTCATAAATCCAGTTATTAACCATCAGATGTGTGACTTCATTCCTTCCACCCTTTGCAAAGTGACGGATGATGTTTCTGATGTCACGTCCTGTGTTGATTGCAAAACAGTTTCTCAGAATATTCCTTTTTCTGTTATTGTTATTGTTATCGTCATCATCTTCCCCAAAATGAATCTCTGTCTTGGTTCTTCCATTGTTGTCTGTTATTGTCTTTCGTTCTCCAATGATAATATCTACTGGCCGTAAAACTATTTCACAGAGTTCTTGTGGTTCTATTTCTTCTGGTGGTTCTGGATAAAATAATCCCCACGTCAAACCTTCGAGTTTCCTCAAGGTTTCTCTGACTTTGTTGACATGTTCTGTTTTAACATTTTGTTGTTTTTGAGCGTTGTTTTTGATTCTGGCCACGTCTTGGTAGCTGTACCCTGATATCGACCTATTAGATATGAAACAACGTCCTTATAGATGTTTTGATCAATGAAACTTCTTATTGCTTTTGGCCATTGTTCTCTGAAGTTCAGCTCATCGTCTCCGTCGCCCAGCAGCGCCGTCTGATTGGTGGGAACTTCCTGCCCGGTGTGGCGGCCGTCGTCCCTCCTCCTGATCTCTCCGGTCGGGCCGACGGTCAGAACCAGCTTCTTGGTGTGATCTCCAGATCTCCACCGCGCTCCGTCCTGACTCAGGACGTCTCCCGTCTCCCCACCTGGACGGCGGTCTTCCACAGGTGCAGCTCCGTCTCCAGGCCGGCTTCACGCAGCACCTGCAGCAGAGCTTGTGGGAAGCGGCGGTCCGATCCCACGCCACAGGCCACCACTGCAGTAGTTTGGATCTTCTGGCCGATCCTGGAGCCGCTTTGGATGATCCTGGCCACGTCTTGGTAGCTGTACCCTGATATCCTCATCTCTCCTGAAGGCTCTCTGGCTCCATGACCCACCAGAACCAGGCTGCTGCGTTCCGACAGAGGTGCAACCTGACCTTTGACCCCCCAGACTCTGTGCTGGGAACGGACGGCGTGAAGCGAACTGACCGCTGGATGTTTGCGGTAGAGAGAAGCTGCAGCTGCTCTCACCACCTCATCGTCTGCTAACATGATGATCTGCTGCTGGTCAAACTCTACCAGGGGATCATCTGGGCTCAGGCCGGTTCTGGAGGTTCTGGAGGTTCTGGAGGTTCTGGAAACCGGGTCGGATTCATCCTGGTGATCCGTTCGTCCTTCATTAGATGAGTTATTAATGTCAGTCAGAAACTTTGAGCTCAGCTGGTTTTTCAGATCGACCCAAAAGGAACCAGAACTCTGGGAGAGGAAGCAGAACAGAACAAAAGTTCTGTTTATGTTTCAGTCAATATTATGATAATTAACATATTATTATTAATAAAATATCCTAATATTGAAACTCCCCTCACCTCCTAAACACCCAGTTTAATATTTTGATCTGAGAATCTTCATATTTATTGATCAACATGATTAAAACCAAAATCTATTAAAATGATACAAAATTATTTAAATCATAAGTAAAAAATTCTTCTTAAATCAGACGTGAGTCACTGATTTTTATATGTTTCATTAGAACATTTTAATCATCATAACATTTTTTTAAAAACTGAGAATTTCCTTTCATTCATTCATTCATTCGTTCATTCATTCATTCGTTCATTCATTCATTCGTTCATTCATTCATTCATTCGTTCATTCATTCATTCATTCGTTCGTTCACATTCATTCGTTCATTCATTCATTCATTCATTCATTCATTCATTCGTTCGTTCACATTCATTCGTTCATTCATTCATTCATTCGTTCATTCATTCATTCATTCGTTCGTTCACATTCATTCGTTCATTCATTCATTCATTCATTCATTCGTTCGTTCACATTCATTCGTTCATTCATTCATTCATTCATTCATTCATTCATTCATTCGTTCATTCGTTCATTCCTGTTTTCTACATTTTGTTGAACTTCAGTTTTCTCCAATATTTCCATCAGCATTCTGATCATAAGTATTTAAACAAATACCTTTAATAAATGTTAATAAATGAAAAATTGATTTGAATCCATGTAACAACAAATCTAAATATTTCAAAAACCCAGAAGAATCTGAACCGTTTATCTCATTAAACCTTCATTTTGACCAGAATTAAACATTTTATTGTTTGTAAAGAAATAATCTGAGTTTCTTCGTTTGTCTTGTAATCTCATAGGATTTTGCTCCAACCTGGTAGAAAGTCAAGATGTTTAAATTCATTTGATTTAAACAAACATCAAGAAATAAATGCAAATAAAGAAATCCTGGTGAATTATTTCTAAGAACGGTTCTAAACCAGTAAAAATGCCACCGTGGCGTTTTTACTGGTTTAGAACCGTTCTTTTCTAAATCTGTTCAAAATATAAAGATGATTAAAAAGTAAAATATTTTCTCTTTCCTGGAGTAAAACTGGTTGTAATAAAATCTGTAAAACTCTCCAGAGTTCAGCAGCTGGAACATTTTAGAATAAAACGGCGAGTCGCTGCTTTCATCACAGCCTCCAATCAGATTAATCAAGTCCTGTACCTGCAGGGTCCTGAGCAGCTCCCCAGTCCT